ATACAACTTGCCTAATCTAGATTGTTCTAGGTGAGGCTTAAATTTGTACACTTGTGTGGAATGTTCCGGAATGCCCTAGATTATCTTGAACGCTCCATCATGTTCTTGATTTTTCCGGGATGTTCCAGAAGCTTCCATGAAGACAAGGCTTTATGGGCTTTAGATATATGATGTCTTGGGCGTTTTCTTTGTTTTTAACATACGGCTCGTGACACTAGGCAGACTAGGTGGATTTAAGTAAATCTATTATGTTTCGTGTAAATAAGTGTCCCATTTGCACTTAAAATATATATAATTTCATCATAAACTACAAAATAGAATGACATATAATTATGAAGTATTGGAACATAATGAAAAACATGCGGAACAAGCATGTAATGTGTGTTCATTTAACTATTCAACAAGTCTCTTCCAATTAATTGAAAAAAGTAAAATTGAAATTGAAAGTTATCTATTTTCTGTTTAAGTAGTCGCAACCTAAGCGGGTGCCTAGGCAAGTTTGGACGGGTTAGGCAGGTGCCTAGGTAGTCTAGGTGGGTGCCTCATCAGGTCTAGACACCCTTTCTTAATTTTCAAATGCCTAGGCATTAATCGGGGAGGCGGCTAGCAGCCTAGTGCCTAGGCAGGCGGGGATTTTAAGAATAGTGCTTAAAAGTAAAGAGAAATGCCACTAGACTGTAGTACTAAGTGGCACTACATGGCTTAAGATGGGAAACATACAGATATTACAAGCTGTTGCAAAAGGAACCTTGGTGATTGAAACCAAAAATAGTACAAGGCATATCAAAGAGGTTATGCTTGTTCCTGATTTAGATAAAAACTTGCTAAGTGTAGGCCAAATGTTAGAGCATGAATATTTCTTATTGTTTAGAGATGATAAAGTTGAAATATTTAAAGATAGAAGCCTTGAAAGACATGTGGTCGTAGTACAAATGACAGGAAACATATGTTTTCCTCTCATCATGAAGGATATAATGCCATCTGCATTGAAAGCAATAGCTGAAGAAGACTCTTGAGAGTGGCACAAAAGATTTGGTCACTTGAATTTTCAGAGTTTGCATATGTTGGCTGATAAGGAAATGGTATTATGCCTGTCTAAATTGAAGAAATCAAATGTTGTCTATGAATGATGATGCATTGTAGGAAAACATCACTGAGAGGCATTCAGTAAGGAGATGACTTGGAGAGCAAATAAGCCATTGGAGTTGATACACTCTGATGTATGTAGTCCTATGCAGGTCGCTACACTTGGTGGAAATAGACACTTTCTGATATTTATTGATGACCATACCACAATGTGCTGACTATATTTCTTGAAGCCTAAGTCAGGCGTATTATGTGTATTTAAAAGCTTTAAAGCTATGGTTCAGCTTGAAAGTGATTTTCAAATTCAAAAATCAAGACGTGACTGAGGAGGAGAATATACTTCTCTAGAGTTTCAAAGCTTCTGTGATGATCTAGGCCTTGAAAGGCAACTGACAGTGGCTTATTCGCCAAAACAAAATGGTGTTGCTGAGAGGAAGAACATGACCTTTATTGAAATAGCTAAAGGCATGTTACTTGATAAGAATCTACCTTATGATTTTTGGGGAAAAGCTTCTAACACTGCAATATATCTTCTAAATAGATGTCAACTAAAGCTTTGCAGAACAAGAATCCATTTGATGCATTTAGTGGTAGAAAGCCAAGAATAAAACATCTCAGAGTGTTTGGCTGCATTTGTTACAATCATGTTCCTGGACAACTGAGATAAAACTGGATAAAACTTTTGTGAAAGAGATCTCTGTTGGTTATGCGAAGTTGTGAAGGGTTACAAAGTTTGTAACTTAGCAATCAAGAAGGTTTTTGTGTCAAACAATGTTATATTTGATGGAGAAGGTGTATGGGACTAGAAAGCTGAAAATGCAATTGCCATGACATTTTCAGTGAATTTGAACCTGATTGAGAAGGAACAAAAATAATCCCATGAACAAGGTGTATGGCTGGTCACCCTCCTATAAATACCTCACGTATCCCACTAAAATGCTAAGCCATTTGCTACCCAAAAACTCCCAAAACTGAATAACAACACATACAATAACCGAAATCCGGAGTGAGTATGCTAGCAATATAGTTTTCCTGCTACTAATTTCTAGAAAGGCTTAGGACTATAAATTCGTATTACCTCTTTGAAACACATGAATTGAAAGTAACATCCTACATGTCACAGTTAGGTGTGCTCTAATTTGTGGAGTTTAAAAAAGGGAAACGAGTGAAGACTGAAAGAGGTATAATTTATTTATTTTTAATTAAACACCTAAATGGCGTTGTTTTTGTTGGTTTTCCAGGGAATAAAAAAGAAACGTCGAGCGCAACAGCAACAAAGTTAGGTGCTAGTTGGACACCTAATTGGGCACTAGCGCCTAGGTGAGGCATAGGCAGACTAGACAGATTTAAGTAAATTATTATATATTATATAAATAAGTGTCTAATTACAATGAAAAAATTATACTTAAATTAGGAGTTTGGGTTTATTTAGCATACAACATATAAAAGTATTAGATTTTTTGCTTTAATTAGTGTCTTAGTAATTTGATGGTATGAGATGAAAATTCAAGTGATTACTAGTCTGTAGTGCTTTAAGAAATATTTTTGAGAAGTCTTATGAAAATTATTATAAATTTTAAAAGAATTAATGGTGTTAAACATGTGAATAAGGGATAATTTGCTATTGTTGTGCTTTGAAAAAAAAATGCTTCTGCTGTGTTTTGAGAATAAATAACTGTAAGATAAAGTGTTGAGTGCTTGCTTTACCTTTTTGATAAAAGTGCTTTTAAAAAATAAAAATAATATCTTAAATGACTAAACATGATATGAATATGTTAAATGACTAAACATGATATGATATTTAATGTGAGATAATAATTGTCAAAGAGAATTATGTAAGGACAATAATTGTAATTTTTTTAAAATATATGGGGATGCACTTGTTATTTGAAAACTTTATTAAATAGACACCGATTACTATATTTTGAAATAAAAAGGCATTGCTTTTAGAAACATGGTAGACTTTTCCTTTCTATACTTTTTTACAATCATTGCCAACAGATATTTTATAAAAAAATATTTCTTTTTTGTTTTGTCAAACACATTTAATATTTTAAATTTTTTAATAAGCTGTATTTAAAAAAAAAAAAAAACATCACAATTTTTTTGTGATGTAGACATGCAAGTGGTAATTGATGTAATATATTTGGTGTAGACATGCAAGTGCTAAAAAGCGTAGGCTGAGTGATGTAGACATGCTAGTGGTTGTAATATTTATGGCGCCACACTTCCCGATTTTTTTGTCGGCATATATATATATATATATATATATATATATATATATATATATATATATCACCTCCCAATTCATAAGGAGCCCTTTAGTGAATAGTATTGAAGGTGGCAGAAGCTCATAGGATGACAACTAAAGAAGACAAAAAATGTTACTTTGTCACGAGGGAGAGAGAAAATGAGTCTCTCTGCATCATCTTCTTCGTTGGGACATGGAGGCTCCTCTTCCTTCAGCAAACCAAACCTCATTTCCGATAGAACCAGAGGTGTGGCAGCACAGAAAATCAGACTCCTCGGCTTCTTTTCCGGCTAGAGGAGGGGCGGCCGTCCTCTTAGCGCCATAATAGGTTCGCTACGATGCATGGACACGGACACAGATGCGAGGATACGACACGATACGACACGGGGATACGTCAAATTTCTATAACCGAGAACACGATACGTCAGGAATACGACAATTAAAAAATATAATAAATAAATATATCTAAAACATTATAAAATAAGCATTCAAATATATATGAGACATTTATGTTAAGAGATAAAAAACACATCATGAAAGCATATACATAAACTTATTATAAACTAAACATTGATACCACTACACAATAATATATTATAATATGTAAAATACAATAATATTATAATAATACAAAAAGTTAAAAAGAGAAAAGCAACAGGCTTCATCAGATTCGAAGATTCATCAAATTCGAATGGACTATGGGATGGGTAGTGGTATGAGTATTATAATATATTATTGTGGGTATGGGTAGGCCTGGCAAACGGGTCGTGTCAGTCGTGTTCGTGTAACACCTGTTATCTTAACGGGTCGTGTCGTGTCACACCTGTTATCTTAACGGACGGGTCCTTAATAGGTCGGGTCACTTTACCCAACGGGTAAAGTGACCCGACCCGTTATGACCCGTTAAGAAAAACTATTTTTTTTTTCCTTAAATTTGCACATACCACACATTGTCACATAAATATTACTTCGAAACATTAAAACACATTTGTCGCTTAAATACTACATCTACACTTGAAAATAAGAGCCTCATAAAAAATACATCCATACACTACTAATCTATTACAAATATTAAATGTGCAAGGATATGCAAAATGAAAGCGTTTTTGTTTTCAAGGTTGTAAAGTTTTTCTCAAAAAGTTTAAACATTGCCAATGAAACTCAAAGCTTAATGAAAGTGACCCACTAGTGTGTTTTATTCGTACTTTCATTAAGTATAACATAAGATTTTGTGGTATCCACTAGTGTAAATATTTTAAATTGAAGATCGAATTCAATCACTGTATTCGTATAGGGTAAAGGAGTGTAGTTGTAAAAAATCATCAAAATCGGAGTTAAAATAACCATTAAATTGTGATTTTTCGTTTATAACCTTTGAAAAGTTTTGTCCCGTTACTTAATCTTTGAATGTTTGTTTTTTTGCAATTTTTGGCGTATGCGATCTCGAACCATATACAAACAAGTATGATGGTTAGATCGTTGAAACTAGTTTCGTAGAATGCGTATCTCATCAAAACAATAGATTAACTAACACTTAAAAGTTTATTCTTACTTTCATTAAGTATAACATAAGATTTTTGTGATATCCACTAGTGTAAATATTTTAAATTGAAGATCGAATTCATTCATTGTATTCATATAGGGTCAAGGACTTTTTAATTTTTAGAACATCATTCAATCAGACTTTTAATTTGATTTTACTGATCATGTATATATAGGATTAAAGCCATTTGTGACACTCTTTCATGGGGATGTTCCCCAAGCTTTAGAAGATGAATATGGTGGTTTCTTAAGCCCTCGTATTGTGTAAGTGAACAAAATTTATTCTCTCAGTGATAATTTGATAAAATGCATACTGATATTCGTAACATAAATGTGTATCTACAGCGATCATTTTAAAGACTATGCGGAACTTTGTTATAAGGAATTTGGTGATCGAGTCAAGCACTGGTTCACGGAAAATGAGCCATATACTTTTAGTTACATGGGTTATGCTGTTGGTACTCAAGTACCGGGACGCTGCTCTTCTTGGCAAAACCTAAACTGCACCGGTGGAGATTCAGCCATTGAACCATACTTGGTGGCACACCACCTTCTTCTTGCTCATGGAGCAGCTGTAGAATTGTACAAGAATAGATATCAGGTTCAATAACTTTTGTTCTTTTTTTTTGGGGTCAGATTATTGGCTCCTAATTGAGAATTCTATATGAATCATTATTATTGAGTTGTAATACAAGAGGGAATACTCTCTGTAGTGAGATAATCTAAAGGTTGTATCTTTTTCCATAGCTCCTATTTGTTCAACCAAAATTCGTATTTTTGTGTAGGCAACTCAAAAAGGCCTGATAGGGATAACATTGGTGTCAGACTGGTTTGAGCCTGCTTCGGATTCAAAGCAAGATAAAGATGCTGCCTTACGATCTTTGGATTTTATGTTTGGATGGCAAGTGTCTTATTAAATTATATATCAACCCAATTACATGTTTACTTATGAATTGAAACATTGATACTACCTAGCTAGCAGTACTCTTTATATATATAATAATATAATTAGGCTAATATCCGGAATTGTCATGTTTTTGTAGGTTTTTGGACCCATTAACAAGTGGTGACTATCCACACACCATGCGATCAATTGTTGGGAAAAGATTGCCCAAATTCACAAAAGAACAATCCAAGTTGCTAAACGGATCATTTGATTTTCTTGGAATAAATTATTATACTGCTAGATACGCAAGTAGTGCACCCAACAACAATTCACTACCGGCAAGCTACGTAACAGATTCTCGAGCTGATCTTACAAGTGAGTGCAAAAGGAAACTTAGTTTGAATAGCTTAAGTTCTTTGTACTTCTTTGCCTAGTTTAACTTCTTAATTACTTTAATTATATTCTAATATTTACACCAATTGTATTCTAATGTTTGTAAATATTGTGGCAGCTGAGCTTAATGGAGCACTCATTGGTCCACAGGTAAATATCAAATTTATCATTTTGAGGTATTTGCATTTGGAGGAGTAGTTTTTTTTCCCCCCAATATTTATGTATTATCTTCAAATGGTGTTGCAGGCTGCTTCAGATTGGTTATATGTATATCCAAAAGGAATTCACGATCTTGTGCTTTACACAAAGGAAAAATATAATGATCCACTAATTTATATTACTGAGAATGGTATGTAATACAAACTTTTAAGCCTTGATTAATTGCAAAAGTTTCACATATTTATAGTGGTGTAAAATGAAACTACACGTTTTCTTTTAGTTTTAGAGGAAGAAACTAAATTTAATTTTTTTGTGTAATAATATGTACATAGGTGTATCAGAGTTGAATAATCCAGAACTATCACTTGAAGAGGCCCTTCATGATACCAGTAGAATTGACTACTACTATCGTCACCTGTGTTACCTTCAAGCGGCGATCAAGTAAGTAGTTATTAACAAAATGATTAAGGCTATATACTGCCTAGCCTTCTTATGTTATGGTTATTTAATCATTATATTGACCTAACCAATTTGTACATTTGTGTGTGTGTGTGTGCAGAAATGGCGCGAAAGTGAAGGGATACTTTGCATGGACATTGTTAGACGACTTTGAATGGACTGCCGGATACACTGTCCGATTTGGTTTAAACTACGTGGATTATAAAGATGGCCTGAAAAGATACCCAAAACTCTCAGCACACTGGTTCAAAAATTTTCTTAAGAAGAATAAATTCAAAGAAAGCTACAGTTCATTATAAACATTTAAGTGGATAATTTTTTTATTTTTTTTTATGTATTTATATTTCAATTCCTTATGCATTTGTATTTCCTTGCAATAATGTAAACATTCTTTGAGATTCAATAATTCAATAAAAAGCTATAAGTGCTGTGAATGCTACAATAAAACCTCTCTCTATAAACGAATAACTTATTTGTAGTCATAAAAAGTTTTAGTCCATGTTTGGGTTTAGGAATAAATTTCACATTGTAATAAGTTATCATTTTAATAGGTCCTGTTGTAAGGAAACTCAGTTCGACATGGTAGTAATTGTTAATAGGGAACTTTAACGAAAAACTCCTGGTACTGTTCACTTTAACAAAAAACCACAATTTTACACTAAAAAGTCAATCCTGGTACTATTCACTTTACCTTTTATTTTGTCGTTATCGTTAAAACTCAAAGTTTTTAAGCAATTTTTTATTAGTTTTCCTTTGTTAATAAGGACAATAATAAGCTACACCACAAATAAAATTTTAAGATGGAATAATTTTATTTTATTTATTTATTATTTTTTTTGGAGATAATACTACAACTTTGAGCTTGCAGGTACGTATGTAAAACCTTGTCAATATCTTCTTGTTGAAGTCAAAATATTTCTAACTCCTCATGAGAATCATCTTTCCCTTCTTTCCTAATTGTATTAACGATTATTTTTTCAATTAAAGCGTGATCAACTTTTTACACAACTGAACACAAATGTTTTCAGTTAGCTGACTTTGCATATGACTTTGGGTTACATGACAATTTTGATAGAAGAAAAGAAAAAGTGTACGCTTGAATTGGTCGAGGATTGTATTGTACATATTTTTAAAACTTTTGCTATGTATTATAAACACCTATTTTTAATTCTTTGTTGAACATAAGGATTCTAATTGATTTTAATATATTCCACCTGTTTAACACAATTTTAAAACTGATGGCACACGCGGGCTCAATTGCTTGTAAGAGACTATTTACAAATAATGGTGATGCACAAAATAAGTGAGACTATGGAACGACGTATGGTGTCAAGTTTGTTACCTTCACAAAGTTATTTCCGTCACCTAGTGAGGATAATATGTAAAGATATAGAGGGTAGATGAGTTCTTATTAATAGTGAAGAGTTTACACAATACACACGTTCAAGCATGAAATTGGTTCCAAGTGAAATATCCTGTAATTAAAATTCTATATACGCTTGACTGGCTAGTCATCAACACTTGTCAACTAAAATTCTATATATGCTTGACTGGCTATCCATCACCAACCCCGTATGATTTGAGACAACTTGTGGAGTTCGCACATGCAATTGTTGTAGGCATGGGGAATAATTGTTCTACTGCTGAGTGGCGTTCTAGGAAATATGTGCACGATTGTATCAAGAAGGTGGTGATGGATGAATTATTAGTAATTATGCTGTTGATGGATCAATAATTAATTTTGTGAATTTTTTTTTTGTTATATGTTGGAATGAATTATTTGCATATATGTGTAACATTGTAAGTAGTATACTCTTGATGATGATACGAACAAAGAGTTGATGAAGTTGATGGAGGCGGCGTTGGAGGGAGGTTACAACCGGTGGCGCTATGACGTTAAGCAGAGTGGAGCACCATCGAAATAGTAGTTTTAAATTTTTGTTTTTGAGGACACTATTTAAATTTAAGGTTTTTTTTTTTTATAAGTTATGTATTTGGACTCAATTAGGCTTTAATTCCTGTTTGAGTTTTTAAATAATTGAATAGATTAACTCAATTAGGCTGTGCATTTCATCAGGAGAAAGAAGAAAGCCAATTTTTTTGCAAAATGACTTGTCCAAAACGACTTCGGTTTGAGCCAAGTCATTAAAAAAATTTAAAACCTCACTCACGAGTCACATGAGAACCCTCACACGATAGAGCAATCAACTCATTCAGCATTCAGAACCTTCACTTTACCAATAATATCTAATCATCTGCCGCTCGGCCCGCTTCTATGCCTTTCGGCATCGATCAACTCTCTGCTGCACTTTAGTTTCTGTTCACTATTGCACCGACGGGCGGGGCGACGAGTCGACGACATCTCTGGTGAAAATCTACATTTTTTCTCCATGTAAAGCTCTGGTCTGGACTCTGGAGGCTAGCCGCTGGTCCTCTTCTTCTTGGTCGAAAAGGTTTGTAGTTTGTACTCTCTTTGAATCTGTCCATTAAATAATTTTGCCATCCTGTTATGATGCTGCACCTACTGATGGTGCATCAATGATGCTACACCTACTGATGGTGCATCAATGATGCTACACCTACTGATGCTGCATATGAATAGCATGCTTTCAGCCTAGTTGCAATCTTTACTCAAATTTTAACTGTTCTACAGTTCAAATGGATAGAGGCACATGGAGTTTTATAGTCTTATAGACCAGGCAATTAGCACTTGTTTTTTTTTTTATTTGGAGCTTTTATATTGGGACCATCCTAAGTTAAAATCTTTGATCCACCACTGATCCTATATGACATTGATTAGTTTGTGTATAGTAGATCAGTTTAAAGTTTTGTTTTTGCCAAACTTGAATTGGGTTTAGAATTAGGGTTTTTAAATTTCGTTTTAAATTTAAGTAGAAATTATTATGCATGTGTACGGTAATTTAAATCTTTGTAATCTAACAAATTTATTTCCAATTTTGTAGATGTAATAGCTCATTAGAACCCGGAAGGCGATGAGTTTTACACCTTGATCGACGACTACACCTACTACTGCCGCCACTGCTTCGGCAGAGATGGACCATAGGTCAATGAATCCATTTGACCCAGTTGGTCCTCCAGTCCTACTGGCACCGGCATATTCGACTTCTTCGGTGGTGCTACCTGTTAGCGCCCGACGTGCTCACTGGTGCCCCCGCACTCCATACTAGATGTCGCCAACGGGATCCACAACCAATGCCTCCGGTACACAGCTAGGTATACTATCCTAATTTACTACCTCATTCCCATGTTAACTTAGTTTTGTTATTTTAGGTTCAGTTTGTTAAGTTATGTCATTTAAGGATTAAAAAGTTATCATATATATATATATATATATATATATATATATATATATATTGTTTATTATTGTCATCGTTCCGAACCTATTATTAAACTGTTGTGATCATTGTGTTGGATATGTATATTGTTTATGTTATTTTTAGGGTTTTGGGAAATGTTTTCATTATATGGAGGTTATGCAGAAATTTTAGTATGATTTGTTATTAATTTTTCATTTCTTTGCCAGCCAAGAAAAACACCTGGGGACCTTGTCGGCAATTGAAGACGGCGAAGGTCACCCGGGTGACCAATGATCGTATCACAATCGGATATGATGAGCGACATCAGACAACACCAACGACGGAGTAGCATAGAGCATTGGGCCATGACATTGGGCACGTCGTGCGGACCTTTTGCCCTATGCAGTGGAAGTCTTGGAAGGCGATGCTAGAGAAGGTGAAGAACACGGTGTGCAATAATTTGTTAGTAAGTATTTTTGCCTTTTTAATGCTTTTCATCTAAAATTTATATATTTATATTTATTAATGTCTTTTATTAATAATACTTTCATAATATTTGTTACATGTAGACAAACTACAATTTGGATGACATCAACGAGGACATGTTGACGTACCTCAATCGGCTATACTCCGAACGCTACAAGTTGTGGAAGAGTGACTTGCACCAGTATTTCGAGATGTTTAGTGATCCGCAGGTCGCTCTCGAGGAGGGTTGCCCGAACGAGCTTGAAGACCGACAAGATAATTGGGATTGACTTTGCGGTCATTTTCAGGAGCCGGGCTATGTGGTGCGTTTTTAATTAGGACTTCTTTCATGTTACTTTTTAAAATTTTTACTAATGTTTATTATGATTTTTTTAAATTTTTTATGTTCTTTAAATATTACGACTAATATGTTTATTTTGTGTATAACAGAAGAAGGCGAAGGCGAACAAGGGCAATCGGGAGAAGAAGACTCTTTTCCACCATTCGGGTTTAAGGCCTTTCTCATATAGGATGTAGGCGTGGCAGAAGGTATATATTACAGCTTTTATTTCCAATTTTAAAATGTCGCTAATAATGTTTTTTTGTTTGTTTTCGTACTAACATTTTCCTTATCTTTTCTATTTCAGGAGGGTTCAAATTTCCCGGAGATCGATGTCTTTGCTAACGTTTATGTTCGGCCTGGGATGAGTTGACCGAGTTACTTCTTGCAAGTAATTTCTTATGCATTAAAGATTTATACTAATGATTTCAAATTGTTTTCTATTAATAATCCATGTTTTTTTCATAGGCGACTATGGTGGAGAAGGGTTAGTTGCTTCAGGAGTTCGCCTCCCAGCTTCCCTAGGACACGCCAATCGATCTGTGGATCCCTCTGAAGATGCGGGGTTTCACATCCTTACAGAGACGTTCAACCACACTTTTGGTCGGACGCAAGGGACATATTGTCGGGGGTTGGGAAATGCCAGGTGGAGGGAGAGTAGAGCATCTTCATCCTTGCAATCGAAGGGCGAGGTTATGGCTTTAACGCAGGAAGTCGCTAGCATGAGGAGTGAGCTTGCATCGTACATGTCTTAAATGTGAATGCTTGTACAAGCCCTTAGTTCCTCCGGGATCCGTCTCCCCAGTTTTTTTGCACCACGACCGTCAGAGCCCCTCCACACCGTGCATACACAGCAATCAGGCCCGTCGACCTTCGACCCCGTCCCTAACCCCACCTTCTTCTAGCAGCAAGATTACCAAGCACCTCTAAATGACTTGCGTATAGACTATTCCTTATTTTTTTCATAGTTTTTGTTCCCTCTTTCTTTTTAAACTTTGTATTGTTTGTACATTTTTATTTATATTATAAAAAAAATTGTTTTTTATTCATTAATTTGTTTTTTTTTTCTTCTGAATTGTATGAAATATATATTTTTAATAATATTCCTTTTATTCTATTTATTATTATTATTTTTTATTAAAAATTACACTTGCGCGACGCATACCTGTCGTCGTGTAAAACCACGCGCGTGTTACATGTTTCGTCGTGCAAAGATTTTCGAGACGAATTTTAGACGTCTCCAGAAATTCTCATCACAAAACACTTGTACCCTTTTATATCATGCGACGAAAGCCTTTGTCCGTATACCTTTCACGCAACGAATGTGGACTTCTTCGTCTCACGAGGTCTTTTTTCACGACCTTTGCGCAAGGATCATGTTTACCTTTATCATGTTCTATATAAAAAACAACTCTTCATGCCGTAAGGATTATGTTGATCTTTACCTAGACTACTCCTTTTGCTATTGGACTTCAAATATTTTCTTTCCTACAAACCTCACCTAATTAAAGGAATCCCACCTTCCTCTCCTCTCTTGATTTATTGTATTCTCTCAAATGCTATTATAATTTCATCTCTCATATGCCAAAGGAAAATCAAGTTGTTCGTACGATCCAAGTATCGTGAGTGTACGCTTAAGATGATTATAGGTTGTTGTATCCTGGATGGTAAGGCGCCATAACCTGCTACACCGAGACATTGTCTTAGAGGGGCAAAATCTACTCTTAAGGACAGTGACTACACACCTCAACCTAAAATCTTGTTCTAATTGAGGATCGACGAAGAACGTTCTCTACCTACAGAAGTTAAGTATTTTATTTTATTTGGTTTATTTTATTTAATAAATTGAGGTGATAAAATTGTGATATACTAACATTATTTTATGTGATTTGTTGTAGGAGAAGTAGCATCCTTATATCAAAAATATTTCCAACAAGTTCAAACCCTGTCGGCTCCTTAATCTAACATCTAATCTAACAAATCTATCGTTTGACCAAAAAAAAATCTCAGGATTTTTTTTGAAGTTTAAGTTCGCAAAGTTTCTAATGGATGGTCACGATTATAACATCTAAATGGTGTAGATTGTGCCACATGTCTTGTTTTATAATTGATTTAATTTGATCATGTGCAACTCATGTGTGCCGTTGTTATTGAGGTGTGATGCCTAGAAACAGCTATATCACACGCTCCTCATGCTTTCTTTTTAACATATTTTAGAGAGAGAGAGAGAATCCAATGTAGATATATTCTTGAGAGATTACATTGGTGACCATCTTTCTTCCATTTCTCTACAATTCGACGATCACATTCTCAGTGATTTCATGAGTTAAATCCTATTGGAAATCGAGTTCATCACCCCTAAACACACTAACATGGCCTTAGAGCTAGGTTCGAATTGAATGAGGGGCATGATCTGAGAAATGTTCTTTGAGCTTTCAACCAAGAGCTCAAATAAATTGAAGAACAAAATGTCTGGATCTGGAGCTGATATTCAAGCTCTGATTTTCAATATTGTCAACTATGAATTTTTGTGTGTCAAATGATGACTATCTTCAAGTCTCACAATCTCTTGGGTTGTGCTGAAAATGGCTATGAACTTCCCTAAGATGAGAAGCAAATGGTTGAGAAGTAGCTGATTGTTGCTCAGGATCTTATTTCCAGAGATGCAAAAGCCCTAAGGTTAATTCAAAGTACAGTGAGTGACGGAATTTTTTTCAGGATTGCGAATCAAGAGACATTTAACAAAGCTTGGGATGTGTTGAAGCAGGAATACAAAGGCGATTATCAGGTCATGGCAATGAAATTACAAGGTATCCGTCTTGATTTTGAGAATGCTAGAATGAGTAATGGTGAATCTCTATTTGATTATTGGACTAGATAGTTTGCTTTGGTGAGTCAAATGAAAATGCACGGAGAGGATTTGTTAAATAAAATTATGGTAGAGAAGCTGTACATTAGCCTCACTCATACTTAGGTTACTATTGTATCTTTTATTGAGGGTACAAAGCAAATCAGTGAGATTGATCCAACTGAGTCTACAACAACACCCAAAGGTTTTGAGCAAAGATGAATGAGACATGCTGAAGATGGAGAGGTGAATGAAAGAGCATTTAGTAGCCTAAGTATTCAACCAAAACAGAACTCACAAGTTGGTGGTTATAAAGGCAATAAGCCTTGGAAGAATAAGTAGTAGAAGAAACACTATGTGAAACAAAATGAGAAGCCAAATGTGATTGTAAAGAACTATGGTAGTAAAGGAGATTGCAAGATTTGTGCAAATTTACATTTTGGTGAATGCTGATTTAAATCCAAAGTGTCACAAATGTGATACGTTTGGGCATATTGCCAAAGATTGTAGGAGTAAAATGGTCAAACAGGTTCATTATGTCAAGGAGGGGGGACAAGGCACTAGTATGTTCTTTGCTTGCGATTCCGCAACAACTGTCAAGAATGAACATGTCTGGTATATAGATAATGGATACAACAATCACATGACTTTACATGAGTCAATGTTGATTGATGAAGACAAAAATGTGACTACATGACTTTTTTTTTTTAAACAACTGATATTATCTATACACTAAGGGGGATGAGGTGTGCTTATCTTCACAATGGGCTAACAATAATGAGGTTCAAATTCACTTTTGGCGAGAATCAAATCTAAGACCTCTCACTGACAAGCAAGGTTCTAAAAAACGCTAGGCTTTAGTCGGGTGTCGGGCTGGAGCCTAGCGCCTAGGCGGCTAGGCGGTTTAGGTGCCTAGTGTCACGGGATGACTCTTTAAGCCTTCCGCCCGTGCGGCACTTAGACTTGAATACCTCGATGAACAAGCTAAGTAAGCCTTCGAAGCCTCGCTTCCCCGGATCGAATCACAAAGAAAGCTAAGATAGTTTGGAGAATGCTAAAATCACTTAGAAGATGGGAGAAAGGAAGCTTTGTATTGAAACTTATGAGAACTTTACAATTGCTTACAATTGTTGGATGGATTGGCCAAATGGCCTTGCCTTCTATTTATAGGCCTAAGTTACCTCCTCAATGGAGGGTTCTAGAATTCCCTACTTACATCCAAAAATATCTAGCATAGTTCTAGATACAACTTGCCTAATCTAGATTGTTCTAGGTGAGGCTTAAATTTGTACACTTATGTGGAATGTTCCGGAATGCCCTAGATTATCTTGAACGCTCCGTCATGTTCTTGATTTTTCCGGGATGTTCCAGAAGCTTCCATGAAGACAAGGCTTTATGGGCTTTAGATATATGATGTCTTGGGCGTTTTCTTTGTTTTTAACATACGGCTCGTGACATCCTCCCCCACTTAAGCCGTAGACGTCCTCGTCGACTCTTGCCTCTCGAATGTCTCAATCAGGTCCTTATATTGCCATAAGGACGTCTCCTTCTCCCATGTTGCTTCGGAGTATGGTAGCCCCTTCCATTTGACAAAGTACTCCACATGCTTTGGTTGTCTTGGTCGCACCACGACACGCTTGGATTCAATGCTCTCCACTTCTTTGTCAAATGCCTCTGTCATCAAAGGAGGTGCTCGATGAGACTCACCTCAGCTTGGTTCCTCATCGTCCGCATGATAAGGCTTCAAGTTGCTCACATAGAACACCGGGTGAAACTTGAGGCGGGGTAGGAGTTCCACAACATAAGCGGCTTTGCCAACCTTCTTGATGATAGGAAATGGTCCCTCATATTTTCGCAACAAGCTCTTGTGCAAGCCACGAGTACTCTTGTGCTGAGATGCATTGAGCTTCACAAAGACTTGGTCGCCAGTTTGGAACTCCACATTCCTTCGCTTACGATCCGCCCATTTCTTCATCTTCTTTGAAGCCTTCTCCAAGTGAGCTCGAGCAAGTTCGTGGGCTAATTGCCACTCCTTAGCGGTTTTAAAAGCGGCTGGACTATTCCCCGTGTAGCCAGTCACGACCGTGTTCGGGGTCAAGGGTTGTTGCCCTATAGCCAACGCGAACAGACTTTTCCCCGTCGACTCCAAATGTTGCAAGTTATAAGAAAATTGGGCAACATCAAGTAACTTAGCCCAATCTCGTTGATTGGCACTAACATAGTGCCGCAAATAAGTCTCTAACAATGCATTAACCCGCTCCGTTTGTCCATTCAGTTTGGGGATGAAAAGCCGTGGAGAAGTCTAACTTTGAGCCAAGTAGCTTGAAGAGCTCCTTCCAAAATCTACCCGTGACGCGAGCATCTCGATCACTGACTATGCTCCTCGGAACACCCCAATACTTCACCACGTGCTTTAGAAACAAGCGTGCAGCTACTTCGGCTGTGCACTCCACAGGTGCGGGTATGAAAGTGGCATACTTGGTGAATCTATCGACCACGACGAAGATAGATCCACAATCTATCAGACTTGGGCAAATGTGTGATGAAATCCATTGTTAAACACTCCCATGGTCTTGATGGGGTGAGAAGTGGTTCCAACAGTCCTCCCGGTTGCCTTTGTTCCACTTTGTCTTGTTGGCACACAAGACAAGTCTTCACGTATGAATCTACATCATCCCGCATTTGTGGCCAATAATAACCATCGCTCACCAAAGCCAACGTGCGGTGAGTGCCAGGATGTCCTGCCCACATTGAGTCATGGCACTCCTTAAGGATTTCTTTCCTCAAGCTTCCCCACTTTGGGATGTAGATCCGCTTGCCCTTGGTGTATAGCAAGCTGTCCCTCAAGCCAAAACCTTCTTGTCTTCCCATCCTTGACAAACTCCACAATGTTCTTGGCTTGGACGTCATGTGATAAACCTTCTCGGACACGGCCCAAGAGATGGCTTGCGGCTTGAGTACCGTAGCCATTAGCTCTACTCATCTACTTAGAGCATCGGCCACCACATTCTCCTTTCCTTGCTTGTACTCTAGCTTGTAATCAAACTACGCTAAGAACTCTTGCCACCTTGCTTGCTTAGGTGTGAGCTTTTGTTGGGTTTGAAGGTAGGTAGTGGCAACGTTATCCGTCTTGATGATGAATGGGGTACC